CTGTCACTGGCTGGCTGTCACTGGCTGTCACTTCAGTGAGATCCTTCTTGATGACGTCCCTCCCTCTTCTTTGGGGATCCTCGTTCGCTTGCCCTCTACTTTGAGTTCCAACGCCTTATTTATTGGGTGTCTTCAGACCTCATCGCAGTCGCTGCTCTCGTGCCTTCAGCTGGATAGGAGCCGTCTGTGTGACTGCCCTGACGTCCTCGTTTCTGACTCTGTCGAGTCGTGTCCAACCGCAGGCCCATCTCAGCATCCTCATTTCAGCTGAGTGGAGCTGCCTTTCATGGTTCTTGCAGATGGGCCAGCACTCACTGCCGTAGAGCATTGTAGGCCTTACCACCGCCCGGTACACCTTGCCCTTGAGCGTTCTCGAGCACCGTCGGTCGCATAGGATGCCAGTGGACTCCCTCCATTTATTTTGTAAGGGAGCATGAATCTGATGATTAGTGAGCAATAACGGGACGAGACCCAAGTTAATGATGGCTCGTCTGAGGGACCGTGCTGGATGAACCATTGGCGTCTTGGAGTGTTTTTTTGAAACATCTGTTCTCTTTCTTTCTAACACTAGCAAAAACATCAGTGCTTTCCAAGTTCTGGATTGAGACCGTAGAATATCATATGGCCCTGTAGAGGTAGACGTCAATGTGGTCGGGTGACCTTAACTTTTAACCTCTTGCCTCTTGCCAGTGACATCGCAATCGTACTATCAGATTGGTGAAAACTATTCCAGTGGATTTCGTTTGATTTCAAGGGATTATTTCATGTCACTGTAGCCAAGTTTTAAGCTAGCTGTGGTTGATAAGCACTCCATATTCCGAAGTTGGAGAGGGCGTGGCTGTGTAATTCATTTGAACGTAGCGACGGCTGCGCTTTCAGTGGAATGATACGTTTTCTGGACAACGATGATCAGTCTTTTGTCCAGCACAACCATAGATGGTAAATGTTCCAATGGAAATGTCTTGCAGAATTGAATCCTACAAAATGCGAAAATGAAGTGCGCTGTCACGACCACCACTCTTGAGATATTGAGAGCATGTTCCCCTTTTTTATTATTCTGCTTAGGAACCAGTCTTCTTTAATGAAAACTTTCTCGATCGATTTATGCTATGGAGTTCTTGAAGACATATTTATACACAAGACATTTCTTCTACAGAGTTACAATTTCTCAATCATCTGAGTGAGATTCTGGAGAATACACTTTTCAGTAATCAAAGAGAAGCCGAAAACGATCAGTCAGCTCTAGAACTATAGAATATCTATTCGGCGAAAAGTATGTTCAAAAAATATGGCGGAATAGTAGAAATAGGTGAGGAGACAGATTGTAGCCGAGGTTACGGCGACGAATGGCTCGTTTTTATTACATGGATACCCGATCCTTCCATCATGAGAGGGGCGTGAATTTTCCTGTATTTTTCTGTCTGTTTTTGATTTGATGGTATTCTGCAAATCTGGTGTTTGCGAGTTTGTGAAATCGAATAATCCTTGGCACCGCCTAAACTGATAAAGTGATCAGGGATGCGGTAGCCCATGGCGCCACGTTTGTGGCTCGCTGGGGAGAATATTCGGAAAAAACTAAGCAACCCGTTTTTACTTAACTCCTAAAGTCATGACGGCTCCCGCGCTCCTTTCCGCATTCCTAATAGCAGCTTCCTGATCTTCATCATTTCTATGTACTACTTCTGCCGTAGTAAATACGCTTCAATTCCCCGTGTTCTGTCGTCCGCTGAAGAGCCGGGAGGGGATAGCCTCTGGTTAAGCAGGCAAGAGAGGAGGGAGAAGAGAGAGGATCAGCGACAGTCGAAAAAGTTTTTAGTTTTTTCAAAGACGATGGCGCACCGGGGGCGGTTCCTGCTGGCCCCTCATGAAAACAGAATTCCTAACATAGCGACGCCCCTGGCAGGCCGCGCCCCTCGACCCGTAGGTGGAGTGGGCTGAAGGGCCGACATTTTGAAGAATGGAATGACTTACCTGAACCGTACCTTGTTGAAAACGCTGTCCTGGGGTTCACCAGGATGACTGCATCATATCGAGTTACTACTCATGCATTCCATTTTACGAAAAATCTAGACTTTTATTTACTTCGGTAGATGTTTTGAAACCCCGCAAGGAACTGATGCTTTAGGCACTCAGAAAGTAATAGCAACTCGCGCCCGGCACACACACCCTTGCAAAACAAATTAGTCATGGATGGACTAGTGCGGTGTTTTCAAGGGTGCCGTTCGTTACAGCACTTCTGCACAACACGTCCTCTCGATCGTTAAGCAGTGAGTATCATACAACTTCACAATATGTAGATATGTACACACAGAAGAAGCAGGAACACGCATACATGTCGGTTCACCAGTCTCTGAACTTGACCTTGATATTGTCCCAGACGAAATCCATATCTGATGGAATTCATATTCATTTCAAGTAGTATAAGACATGTTGAGAACAGAAGAGGAAATCAAGAACAGCGCTAGCTGAAGAGGGGAGGGGGCATGCGGCGGTGTGATCACCCGTCCCACGGCTATGAGATGCTTCGTAATTGCGGACTCAGTGGCGGTTGGACAGCAGTCGAGAGGATTTCCGCTCCTTCCGAATAGTAGTCGACTTCGTCAGACTTTGTAGTTGGGTGTCATAAAGTTTCAAATACAAATAGCGAGTCTTTTCGTCGGCAGAAACTACCAACTTTTTCAAGACCACTGCCATGGCTGCAGTAAGTACGTAATTACGACCCATCTGCCCCCTGGATGCAGAGTGTATGCAACTCATGTCTGCTTGTCTGCACCCTCACCGAGTAGGGAAGATCCCTATACACCCATTCCAATGCTTCAACAAAACTCTACAAAACACGTGATATGGTATCTTCACGCCACCGCGTGCCTCCCCTAACTGCCTGTGAAACCTGAAATTATCAAATAAATACTGATAAGTACCACCAACCGGAGCGCATGGCACTCAACTGTTCGCCTGTGAGCTGACAAACGGTTGTTTTCCCATTGCGTGTGTACCGTAACACGGGAGTGGATGGGTCTTCTTCGGATATCGTTACAGACTCCAGTGGGGGCTCTATAAATAACCATGACAGTTGGGTAATGAATAATAAAATAAATCATTCGAATTGACCTTTTGGGATGCTGTTTTTCACGTATTGCTTCAAAACATCGAGATTAGACGCGAAAACACGTGCCAACATCTTGCTGTGCTCTGAAAACAAAAGGAGGGTCTGGTCTTCCCGCCTGTGGGTTTAGGGCAGCGTTCACACCTCGCGATAGGGACCATGGAGACGGGAGAAATCGCGAAAAATGTGGAAAATGGATCATATCGGTCACGGCACGTTCTGCCGTTAGGGGAACTTTCGCAAGATACAACCCCTCTCAAAATTTTCTCCTCTGATACGACCTCCCCTCCATCTCCCATTCTACCTACCACCTTGAATTTCCAAATTTTCCCAACTTCCTATCACTTCCCTAGTTTTCCACCCAGATTCTCCAGTTTTTTCCTCGAAAAAAAAACTGAAAAACTGCTGTTGAGCGGGCGACGGGTGGTGGGAGGAAGGAATACAACGCACTGGAAAAGAACGTAGAGAAATCAACAACGGGAAAAATTTCTTCAAAGGCGTCAAATGACAGTTCGACCTCCCCTCCTT